ATGCACTGGGAACACTGGGGAGCTTTTTAAGATCCTTATGACAGTTGATACAAGAGGGATGGTATAATGTAGGCTGTGTGTCGTTTGGGGTGGAAACCCAGGAAGCTCCTACTTGGCCTGTGAAACATGGTTTTCCAAGGACTCGAAAAGCAGAGAGAGGCTGGAGAGATGGCTCAGCTGTTAAGAGCACTGACTGTTCTTCCAGAGGATCTGAGTTCAATTCCCAACAACCACATGGTGGCTCACAACCATCTGTAATGAGAACTGGTGCCCTCTTCTGGCCTGCAGGCATACATGGAGGCAGAATGTTGTATACAGAGTAAATAAATAAAAATCTTTAAAAAAAGGAAAAAAAAAGAAAAGAAAAGAGATTCTTTTCTATAGGTTTACTGTCCTCTGATTGCCCAAAGCAGCAGCAAATCAAACCTACCAGCTTCATGCTTTTGAATCAAATTTGTAGCAATCAGGGCTCTGCATCTCTACTCCCCACCTCCCAGTTCCACCTCCTCCCTTCATTGTTCAGCGGGCAATCCTGGACCCATATCCTAGAAAATCCTAATATAGAAAATATTGGTTCCCTTTTCAGCCTGAGTCTACAGACATCGGTACCAGGTACGGAAGAGCAGGTCTCAAATACAGGCATGTTTTTTGGTTCTGTCCTCTCAGAATTACATTGACAGCTGCCACTTCTGAGAGATTGCTCTGGGTGCTTTGCTGGTCCTGTATCTTCTCTCAGCAGCTGAGAGAGATCAAGAAGTGTGCAGAGCTGAGAGTCAAACCAAGGGCCATGCCCTTTCTAGCCATATCAAGTGACCATTGCTCAGTGGCCCCTCCATATCCTTGGCCTTTGTCACTTTGGAAAGCCTTCCAGTTGTTTATGCAGAAGTGATATTGAATGGCAGGGTGGGGGACCTGCTATCTTCTCTTCAGAGCCCTTTGTGCTCTGGAACGTTGGGGCTTCACACATAGGGCAGTTTGCCATCAAAAATCAGCTTCTATTCCTGTTCTTTTGTCTGGTGACCTGACCCAACAGATTGCTTTCTGGACCCCAAGTGAAGGGTGGAAACTCGAGAGCTAAACATAGCTTTGGTTGTTTTTACTTTTTTGTATTGTACTTTTCAAAGTGATAAAGCTAGGAACCGTTAGAATCTGTGCTGCAGGCAGGACAAGTGGCCACACCACATGGCTGCTATTGATACCCGGTAACAATGTTTTCCTTTTTCAAAATAGCTTTCACTTGACGCTACCTAACTGCCTGCCTGTTTCCTATGTAGCCAGTCCGTGGCTTGGTAGGCCGAGGGTTTCTGGCATAGCCGGATGGAACCTACTTGTGTTAAGGACAGTGACAAGAAACAGCAAGTAAACACCCACCACCTCATTTTGTCACCCTCTCCTCCTTCCTGTCCTCCCACTCTCTGTCAGGTCTGCTGTGTGCCACACTCTGGGAAGGACCCCAGAGAGCCTCGCTGGGCTGTACTCCAGAGGTGGTAGTCCAGCAGAGTGAGAAGCAAGTGCAATCCCTCCGTAGATGGGACCAACCTCTTCTACACTGATGGCTTTGTCTGCATTTGACCGAGACACGTTCTGTTTTGTGTCCCAGGCTCCCAAGCCCCAGCTCTGGTGCCATCTTGGTCTTTCACTGTTCTGTGGATTAGACCCACTGGTTTCTTCCTCAGCCTCTACCACACCGCTGAGCCTTATGGTGTTTTCAGTGTCTTGGCCTCAAAGGGAAGTTGGTTCCACCAACTTCCTGAAAACCCGGAGGAGAGAACCTAGAGGAAGATGAGGTGTGGGCCCTGGTTCTAGAGAGGCTCCCTTCCAGAGCTAAGGCAGAGCCCAGCCCTGTGGACACAGCAGCCGCAGCTCTCACAGCTTGTTAGTTCAGCTTCTCCTAGGAAGTGTGCAGACAAGGAAAACAAAAGTAAGAAAGCATAAATTAACCGGCCACCTGAGGATCGGCCATTAACATTTTGGTCTGTTTATTTTTAGTGCATGTGCAGCACACTCTGAATTTTACTAAATAGGAATCATAGGGCTTTATGCACGACTTCTTTAGCAATATCACTGGCCTTTCACCACGCCATTAACTGCAGTGTTACATACTGTGTGTGATTTTCTTGTAATCTGTTTAACCAGCCACCCATTGCAGGACATTTTAATTATACTTAGCAATTTGTTATCATTTTGATTTGATTTTCACATTTTCTTAGGATTACTTTTCTCTTTCCATAATAGACAGCCATGACTCAGTCCGTGTTGGTTTGTATTTCTTCTCATTCTGTAGCTCAGGCAAACCTTGCATTCAAAGTGATCCTCCTGTCTCAACTTCTTGGAATTAAGCTAGATTTATATTTACCATGCCAAGTTTAGCTTATATTTCCTCTGTTTTGAATTCATTATTTTTGTTCACGGAACTAATGTCAAATTAAAACGTTTTTCAAAGAATGATAAACATTGAGCAGGGGAGATGGGCCAGTGGGTCAAGCATGTACTGTGCAAGTGGATGACCTAGTTCAGGTCCAAGACCTACAGAAAAGCCAGGCACAGAGGAGCTCATGTCGGTAGTCTCAGTGGGCCCTCGCAGGAGACTCTGGTAGGTCACTGACATACTCATCAGTGAGCAAGAGAAATGCTTTCTTAAACAAGATGGGAGAACTAATACCTGAGGTTGTTCTACTCTGGTTTACACACACCTGCACGCACACATGCACAAACACCACCCACAAAGCACACAGACACACACCCCATACAAACACACATCACACAAACAAACACCATACAAACATACCATACGGACACATTCATACCCACCACATGTATACCACACAAACATACATGTATACACATGACACACACATACACACAGTACGCAGAAATACCCCCCACACACACACCCATACATATACCACATATAAATACAAATATCACACTTGGGGAAGGGAAGAACACTCAAAAGGAATGGAATACTGGAAGGGAATGTTTTCCACGGGTAATGAAAGCATACTTGAACAATATACACAGCTTGCAAAAAGCCTTTTTTGGGGGATAACGTTTATATTTGAAGGTAATTTGTCAAATTCACCTAGAAGAATAGGTATCAGAGCTGCCTCCATCAGGGTGGGGAAGATTCTGAGTTGAGGTCTTTGGATGTTCAGCCACAGTCCTGCTCTGTTCCCAGCTGTCCAGCTAAACTTGCGGTAAATCTTTTCTCTGTCTCTTAGCTCCTGAGATTCTCGGTGTTTATAGCCCTGGGCAGTCCTGTGGCCTTTGCCCAGGCTGCAGTCCCCTCATGCCACCGGTCTCATGGCTTAGCAGAGTCATGAGAGTCTGGGAAGAAGGAACTTTATGTCTAGCCTTGGTTTGCTTCCTGGACACACCCTTTTGGGCTGAATTGTTTATCCCTTCACCTGGTGATTAGGTGACGTTTGGGCGACATTCAGTCCAGGTGTTTCTCAGTGGCCTTTGAGAGAAGTGACCCCTGTAAGCCAGGTGTGGTCCTGGTGTCTCCTATCTAATTCCATCACTTGGGAAGCTGAGGCAGGAGGTTTGCCACAGGCTCAAGGCCCTAGAGCACAGGGTAGCATCCTGCCTGGAAGAGGCAGCAGAGCGGTGCTGGGGAGCTCATTTCACAGTCCTTGCTCCGTGAAGTGTGCATCACCTAGGATAGAGCAGTCTTTTGAAACATAGTACATTTTCCTGCACCATAAGCCTCTTGAGGCAGGGCCAGTGTCAGATTGGCCTGAATTGTCACTGTGTCATAGAGCTGTATTGCCTGCCCTGGGCCAGGGTGATCCTTCATGCAGGATGCTGTGTGGATGTCATGGTCCAAAAAAGGACGCTCAGTGAGTGATCTGTCTGGCTGTGGGTGTCGGTGGGGACGTGTAAATACCTACTGCGTGCAATTTCCAGCACCGTCTAGCATTTCTAGTTCCACTGACTGCCCGACTCACATTTGCCAGCTAGTGCATAGACACAGGTTTTCAGAGTTAGACAGGGTAACTCCCGACAGCACGTGTTTCTGATCTTTGCTTTTGCATTGTAAATCTGAGAACAAGAACTTTGCCAGATTGCTCTTTGCATCTCCTAAAATTCCCAGCATGGCTCCTGGTTCTATAGTAGAAAGACATTAATTTGTTCTTACGATTTTACTGAAATAATAGTTCAAGTTAAGATTGAGCAGCATCCCACAGTTGGACCAGCCCGTAGATTCATGCGTTCAAACAGAATTGAATGGCCTTTGTATTTGTTTTTTGTTTTGTTTTTTGTTTTTTTGAGATAGGGTTTCTCTGTGTAGCCCTGGCTGTCCCTAGAATTTGCTCTGTAGACCGGGCTGGCCTTGAACTCACAGAGATCTGCCTGCTTCTGCCTTCCGAGTGAGTGCACCACCACTGCCCAGCTCTAAGTGTTACTCTTGTTCATTTCAAATGCTTCATATAGCTCAGTTTCAGCAAGAATTGAAATGAATATGAAGAAAGTTTCTGTGGCTGGCAGCTGGTGTCAATGCTGTTATTGTTAGATATTTTGGTGGAAGGCGTCAGTAAAAGAGTCTGTATCTTTTATGAGCAGACGTTTTGATGATGGAATTCAGATGAGCTAAATTATCGGTATCCCAGCCCCATTTTGACCTTGACCATCTGAAGTGGCCAAGACTCAGTGTTGGTTGTGGTCTTTGACCATATGCTGACTTACACTGCTCCCTTGACTCTGCCCCCGACCAGGGCAGGACTCAGGAGGAGCCACCATCCTGGGATGTTGGGAGGAAAACTGGATCAGGAGCCCCAGGAATGAGTTTGGACCCAAGGACATCTTCTACTTCCAACTCAGCATGTTGGGCCTCATTCCTCTGGGCCTCAGTTTTCATCTGTAAAGTCAGGTTGAACTGATTTATGAGAGCCTTTCTGGTGCCGGAGTACTACATAGCAAACAGGCTGTTGGTGGAGGAACATAGGGTGTTGGAAAGGCCTCTCAGATCCTGTTTTCTCTTTGTATTTATGCACCAGAAAATGACAGATGGCGAGACCTGGACAGAAAATGCCCTCTTCAGATTGACCAGCCAAGCGCCAGTATCTGGGAGTGTCTGCCTGAAAAGTGTCAGGATGGCTCCCTCTGGCACCAGGAAGCGGTGACTGCCTGTGCAGTGACCAGCTTAATCAAAGACCTCAGCATCAGTGACCACAACGGGAACCCCTCAGCTCCCCCCAGCAAACGCCAGTGCCGGTCACTATCTTTCTCTGACGAGATGTCCAGCTGCCGGACGTCATGGCGGCCCTTGGGGTCCAAAGTCTGGACTCCTGTGGAGAAGAGACGATGCTACAGTGGGGGCAGCGTCCAGCGCTACTCCAACGGTGTCGGCCCCATGCAGCGGAGCTCCAGCTTCAGCCTCCCTGCCCGGGCCAATGGGCTCTCCTCACCGTGCCACCAGTCAAGCCTACACCAGCCCTTTGCGGGACAGCCCTGCCAAGGAGCACCAGGTTCAGCTCCCTGTGGACAGGTGGGCGATGCCTGGAGCCCTGACCCACACCCCGTGGGAGGCGGCCGGCTGGACCTGCAGCGGTCCCTCTCTTGCTCACACGAGCAGTTCTTCCCAGAATACTGTCCCCCCTCAGCCAACAGCACACCTGCCTCAACGCCAGAGCTGGCAAGACGCTCCAGCGGACTTGCCCGCAGCCGCTCCCAGCCGTGCGTCCTTAATGACAAGAAGATCGGTGTGAAAAGGCGGCGTCCTGACGAGGTGCAGGAGCAAAGGCCTTCTCTAGACCTTGCCAAAATGGCACAGGTAAGTGTCCCAATGGCCTAGAAGAGTCTCCAGGAGCAACTCGCTGTTCTCTGGGACTTGTAGTCCTGGTCCAGCCAGTTAAGTGCACAGTGATACTTTCAGAAATGTTTGAGACTCAGTTTCCTTGTTTTGAAATGAAAGTACTATATAAAAAAAAAATCTTTCTCAAGTTTTTTCTTAAGTATCTGGTGCTCTCCACTTAAAATGAGGCGTGCTCTTATCCTGCTAAGCTCATTGCCAGTGGACCAGGAGCAGCCAGATGGTGAGAGGCAGGCATTGGCTGGCAGTCCGGTGTGACCAAACACTAATTAATCCTCTTCTGGCCCTTTGCTGGAACCTCTTCTCCTGGAGCCCACACACCAGTGTTCAGTATCACCCAGATTATGCTGATCCCTAGATCAGGGCCATGAGTTAATGACTTTAGAAAAGGTAGGAAGGGATCAGTCCCTTTGATTAAACTGTCAAACCTTTAGACTACAGAGAAGTTGCCATCAGTACCCTCTGTGCCACCTCTGCAGCTGTCCTTGGGACTGTTGTAGGAGGAGCCTCTCCCGTGTGCTCCCGTTCCCGTCTTTGTCCTCTTTGTCTTGTGGTCCGGGTCGTGCCAGCACTTCTCCTGGGTATCGCTCTGAATGAGATGGTCTCAGAGTTAGACACCACCATCAGGGCAGGGTCAGAGGCTAAGTGAGGGCTGGCTGCATCGGTTGGTTCTTACTACAGAGGTCTTAGGATGTGATGAAGACGGTGAGACCTATGGTGTGACATTGGTCCTTGCGACTGTTAACGTTAGGATGGATGACTGTGGTGGGCAAAACATGGGCCTGTTGGCTCCATGCCCATCCGGGAGGCCTCTTGCTCAGTGCTGTAATGTATTCACTTTTGCTGTTCTGTATAAAAGCATTGGTTACTGCTTGGTTTGAGGAAATGACGATCTATTTGCTAGTGAGGGAGTGGGCTCAGCAGAGTTGGCCACATTCTTCAGACCGTGGGCAGATCCAGGGCAGGCAGGCTCATGGTGACTGTTCTGCACCAGGCATGTGTAGCCAGTAAGCAGTCTTGGGTCCTCCACACTAGTCCTGCCCCGTTGAACTGCCTGCTTTCAAGAAAGACATGGTTTCTATTCATGGTTACCTTCTGTTCCTTTCATTCTCCAAGCCTGTCAGTCCCTCACTGAAGACAAGGTACAGGGATCTATCTGGATGGCCTCAAAGTTCACAGTTTTGAGCCACCTTAACAGATTAGCCCAGGTCCCACACAGGACAACTGGGGTCAAGTTGGTGATATGCTTGTGCCACCGCCGTGCCCATGGGCTGACTTGAGACAGAGCTCCTGCCTCCTCCCATGTCCAACTTCTATGACTTCCATCTTGGTTCCCACAGAGGCCCTTCCTCCTGGGACTTCTTCCTGGCTTACTCACTGGATAGTAACTGAATGTGTGTGTTGGTTACTGAGAGGAAGTTTCCATCTCCAGATAGACTGAAGTAGGTTAAAGGGGGACAGCATTCAGGGACTTCTGCAGGAAACAGAGCCCTGGGTTCTGGGTACCCACACAGCCTCAGTTAACTTTGTTATGCCAAGTTGTATTGGTGAATAAGCTAGAGAGGTAATAAAACCAGCTTACAGGTGTTACTAGATTCCACCGGCCACAAGCTGGAATAACACCACTGCATCACTGAAGACATTTTCTGGTCTCACGTGTGTTGAAACTGTTTAAAAATATATTGCTCGGTGGGGCTGTGCCCACGAGTATGGATTGCCTCATCAGTTCCAGACAGGCCTTTAATATCCAGTGAGGTTCACTGGTGCCTAAGAAGGCCACCCTGGTTCAGCTGGTCTACCTTGGCTGGCTGCTTGGCCATGAGTGTCCCAGTGGTGGGACAAGGCACAGGGAAAGGAGAGAGTCCCTTGGGAAGAGTGTGTACCCTATCGCCAGAGGTCAGGTCCTGAGGATGGAGTTCCATCCAGCATCTCTCTCTGGCCAGCCGTCTTTCCATGGGGCTCTGTGGTTCTGCCTGCTTTGGCTCCCATGCAGTAGTAATAGGCTCAGGAGGTGGCCCTTACTTGCCAAGGGGCCTGATAATCAGACCTGAGACCATCCTTGTGTGTTTGTAAAGAGTTCCGGATTAGGGGCCCGGAGAGATGACTCAGTGGTTAAGTGCGTTTGCTGTTCTTGCAGAGGACACAGGTTTGGCTCTTGTACCTACATGGTGGCTCAAAACTGCCCATAAGTTTAGTTCCAAGAGATCTGATGTCCCCTCTAGCCTCTAGGGGTATCAGGTATGCATGTGATACACATACATACATACAGGCAAAACACTCAAACACATCTTTAAAAGGAGTCCTGGACTCAGCCAGGACATTGTAGGGTCCCGAACCTTGGTTCCAAACAGGAAGTCCTGTGGTTGGTCGAGAGACCCACACACGCTGCAGTGGTTGGTTGAGGTGGAGTGGTAGCCTCTGCACACTGTGGCTTCCCTGGACGTTCTCAGCTGAGAAGAGTACAAAGTCTGCGCGTGGGTGGAGGGAGAACGTTAGGTGATTTTCTGCATCTGTAGGATAGGCTTGACCCCAGGATTGGTGCAGCCCTCTCTTCCCTGAGCTGCCTGCTTCGTAGGTCTTTGATCTTGGTTGGTATATTCACTCCACTTGTGTTTTCTTCTAAAGGAGCCTCTTTGCACGTGGTGTCTGGGACCAGGTGTCTGAACACTTTAGATAAAGGTACAAAGTATCTTTCTGGTTAGACCTTTGGAGCAGCTGGTGTTCTAATAAACCAAGTCCCTCCAGGGGCCCCCTGGGGCCCAGAGTAGACCCTGAGGGTGTGGGCCTGTGGGGGCTTCCCTATGGCCTTTACACAGCTGGTGGGAGTCAGTGCTCTCTAATCTGCTGGGAGAAAAGAAACCCAGTCACGATGAGTTCTGAGAGTCAGACAACAGGAGAGGGTAGAGAGCTCTGAGGTCGATGCTCTGAGGCCCAGTCTTCCTTGCCCTAGATTTAGCAGGAGCATGTGCCATGGGCACACTCTCTCATAGACGTCAGTATTATATCAGGGCTTATCCATTACATCTCCCGAGAGGATTGAGATTTTGCTGGTTCCTAGACCTGCAGACCTTTCTGGATAGAGTAGTTACTTCTGTACCCATATGTAGGAGGGGCGTCCACAAACCAAAAGGCCTCCAGAAAAAGGGTTGTGACGTGCTGGAACTCTGGGCAGTTTGCTTAACATTACTGTGTAGCAGGTCTACAACCAGCACAGGGCTGTGGGGGAGTTAGGCAAATAACCAGCTTGTGTGTGTGTGTGTGTGTGCGTGCGCGTGCGTGTGAGTGTGCGCGCGTGTGCGTGTTCTGTGTAATCTGGAGAATGCTCTAGGATAGCCATGTTTTTGGTTTTAAATGAGTGAATTTATTAGTACATAGCAAGTCAAAGTAAAAGGATTAATAGCTAGTAGTAGATAGGCAGAAGCAGCAGATAGCAAAACATTAAGTCATGGAGGCAGCTAGCTGGAGTTTCTGATCATCTCTCTGCATGAGCTTCCAACTTCCCATTCCCAATGCAGGCACGTTTATATGGGATGAAGGATGGTAACCCCTTTTGGAAATGGTTTGCCTTCTTCCCCCCCTCCCCTTCTGTGTTGCTGGGAATCAAATCCGGGTCTTTGGGCTTGCTGGGCAAGCCCTCTTACTCTGAGCTACATCCTCTAACTGTTCTAAAGGACATAATGGTTTTTTTTTTTACTTTTGTATCACTTTTCTGGTCTTTTCCCTGACACTGGGGCCAGGGAGACCGTCCACCCACAGGCCATCTAGTAGAACACACTTCGAGATACACTTTCTGAAGTGTGTGGGGGGTAACCACATTTCCCAGGTAGCTTTTTAGTGAACTTAGACAGCAACCGCAGGTCTACCAACACAGTGTACCTTATAGTATTCATGAATGCATGTTCCTGTATCTCTGTGTCCTTCTGTTGTGTGTCTATCCATAGTTTTTGTAGGATCTATAGATTTGCGTATCTAACCATATGTGCGTGCACACAACAGCCATGTCACCCCGCGTACTGTCTCACACGAAGAGTGCTGACAAGCACAATTCACCATTGCACTTGGCAGGGCCAGGGAAGACGTGTGAGCGACTCCAAGGGCAGATAGATACACACGTGCTGAGTGTTCCCAGAGGTGCAGTCTGTCTTCTATTATAGATACTGTTTTTCTGCCTCCTCCTGTCCTAGTGCCGCTTTCTGTCTTAGCCATTTACCGTCCCGTGCGTGTTCATCCTCTCGCCCCATTCTTTTCTCTTGTAAACGGCAAGGAGGCAGTTGCTGGCCATCGGCTTGCCTGTTCAACCCCCTGTTGCGAGCCAAGGGTGATGAAATGGTGACAGAACAGGATTCATCCGCCTCCCCTGGAAGTTGGCCATATGTGAGCATTCTCTCCCCATGCCCGGCAAGCACTCTTGAAACCGAGGCTGAATATCCTTGGAGCCCACAGCCACCCCATCTCCTGTCGCATCCCAGGGGCACAGCTGTCTTAGCAGCAGCAGTGGCCCTTGTCCCTTTCAGCCGTGAAGGTGAAACACCGTAAAAAAAAAAAAAAATGCTTTTCGATTGTCTTTGCTCACATCTTAAAATCCCAGTGTTAGGATTGTGGCCAGGGATGCCAGATGAGACCACAGGTGACACCGCCATCTGAATCTGGGAGGGGCTGATCGTAGGAAGGAGTACTCCGGACAGGAAATGACACCTTCCCTGTACTTGTAGTTATGGCCTCTACTCTGTTATGTGAGCCGTTCAAAGGCCACATGGGAGTCCATGCAGTCCAGTCCTATCTGGGTCTGGTCCTCTGGATCTCCCATGCTTTCCTCCTCAAGTGGCTTGAGGTTCCTGTTGCGTGTGGTGTTCCGGGCAGCCGAGCCTCCTGTTTCCACAGTGCCAGTGTATGGCACTGAGGGCAGGACTGAGCTGAGCATGAGAACTGCTTAGCAGCAGGACTTTCCCTGGCATTGATAG